TCCTGGTTGATTGAATGAAAAAAAATCAAAAAAGAGAAATTTAAGTTTTGTTATAAAATTACTTGTTGTGTTTTGCGTTTGAAATGTTATGAGCAAGATCGTGGACTTGTGCAGACAGGTGAATTTTACTGGATCTTTCTGATTTTTTTAAAAAAGTGTACCTTTTTAAAAAAAAGGATACTTTGTTTTCGGCAACCAAAAAAAAACTAAAATGCAGCACTAAAATATGTGATTGGTCATTCCTTTAACCAATATAATAAAAATACTAAAGAACAATAAAGCAAGCTCAAAATTGAAATAATTCAAAGAAACGACTGCGATGGCTAAATTGTCCTATATAAAATTTTAGTGATTTATCAATTGACAATCGCAAAGCAAAAAAAAATGGGCGTGGAAAACATTAAACAAAATATCTATAAAAAAAAAAAAAATGTATAAATCATATCAAGGATAACTTTTTACTTTTAAAGCTTTATCAGAGATCTTTCTTTTTTTTCATTTTTAAAATTTTGAATAATTTTAAAAAAAAAATCGTTAAAATTAAAAAAGTAAAAAGAACTTGAAATTTTAAAAAAAAATGTTCAAAAAAAAAGTTTCATCTCAAAGTTTAAAAACTAAGTTTTTTTATCTTTTTTTTTTAAAAAAAAGGATTTTTTGTTGAAATTTGAAAGTTTTTAAAAAGTTTAAAAGGAAAAGTTTCTTTAGCTAACGACAAATTATTTTAATTTCTACTTTATTATTCAATCGAGAGATCTTTTATACTTTGAATCTTTTTTCAGCATCTGCATAACTCTTTAAATAGAACGACAGGGTAAATTTTTTTTGAGAATTTTATCTTCACTGCCTTTTAGAAACAACTATTTCGAAGATGTGTGTACGAACTTCACAAATGTATACAAATTGAATTGAAAAAAAAAAAAGTGACCCGATGCGATGAGAAAACAGTCCCCCACACCCAACAGTAGTAAAATAATGACAATAATAAAAGATGTGTGCTACTTTTGTAATTTTTTTTTATGTATTTCATGATATGGAACTTGATATGGAACTTAGATTTTAAAAAAAATTTTACTGTTATTTCTATCTATTTATTATATATTTCTTAAAATGAAGTAAAAAGGATGATGGTTTTCTTGTCTTTTCTCTATTTTGTTGTGGAATTTTCATTTAAAATCTTTTATCCAAACTAAATTTTTTTTAATACACACATTTTACATTTTGATTAAATAAATTTGAATCAAATACAACAAAAAAAAAAAATTAAAAAATATTTAAATATATATAAAATATATTATAAAATATATTATAAAATATTTTTATTTTCATTATTTTTTTACAAGTAAATTTTACTTAGCATGTAGGCATTTTAAAGTTCATACAGTTCTTGTTTGTAGTTGTTTAAGATGAAAAGAAATGTAATTTCTGTGTGTGTATGTGTGACAAGCAAAGTGCATGTATGTGTGAGAAGGAAAGTGTAAATGTCACATAGCTTGTCCAGTAAGATGGTGAATATTGTAAGGAAATTTCTTTTAAGCTGATGCATTGTGAAATTGGTGCCTTCTCATTACTGGCATGTCTTGGTTGAGAAACTTTGCTTAAATACCCTTCAAATGGATCATGAATCATGTTTTCTATTGTTGGTGGGAATGTGTCCTGTTGGTTGAAAAATGTTAAATATCTATTTTCAAAACATTAATTTATTAGCTGGAAGAATGTGCAAATACTCTGACTCAGAAACCACTTGTCATTTGATGTTTGACTGTCTTGGTGTTTTTCTGTCTTTTGTAACATATTAAATAAATTTTAAACCTCTCTGTTATTTAAAACATTTGAACTGTTTTTTTCCCAACAGCACATCATTTTTATTTATATATATATATATGCACACAACACACACATATATATATATATATATATATATATATATATATATATATATATATATATATAATATTTAAACTTTATTTTGAAAAAACCTGGATAATTTAATTTTCAAACAAACCAAGAATACCTCTGAACAGAGCAAAAAATTGTCCAGTACCTTAAATTTCAGGTACAAAAGAAAAAAATGTTTTAGATAATCTAGTAATAAATTAAAATGGAGAGTTTTCAATATGTTAAGTAGAGCAAAGGTAAAATAAATAAATCCCTAATATAAAGGAATTTACCTACCTAGGTTTCAAAAAACATGGTATCATTAAAAGGTGTAAATGTTAAATTGTTCATCAAAATGATCATCCCACATTTGGTGAAACCCATAAAAATAGAAACTAGTCTTATTAAAATTATTTATTTTGCTATATATATATATATATATATATATATATATATATATATATATATATAATGTGTGTGTGTGCCTCAAAAAGATTCACTGTGTCCTGTGTACTACTATGATAAACTACGTCCAGCAGCAAGGCCTCTGATCAGGAGGTTTTGAGGAGTGTGGAACCACCTCTTAATTGCTGGTATTCCCAGGTCCATCCTGACCTGGAGTGGTAGCACCTGTTAAGGTCCCAGTTATGGGCAAATAATTAACCCCCAAACTTTGGTCAAAACACTGTGAAAGTGTAAAAATAGGTTTTAATACCAACAATACATTTTTGGAAAAAAATTATTAGCAATACATTTTGTGGAAAAAAGAAAAATTACCAACAATACATTTTTGGAATAAAATATTACTAGCAATAAAAATCTTGTCGGCATTAAATAACCCATTGAGGTTGACATGCCATAAAACAAAACTAACCAAACCAAAGATTCAATTAAAAAAAAAAAGAAAAAAAAGAAAAGCATTCATGATGAAAAAATGCCCCAAACTTAATGAAAAAAAAAAAGTTTTACCATTAAAATATTTATTATTAAGAGGAAACACCAAAGGATTTTTTGATTATTAAATTATATTTTTTAATCCGTTTTAGAACATTAAAAATTTTGGTTAAACATTTTTTTCTTGTGTTAAAAGCCCATAAATTAGTATAGGAAATTTTAGCGTCTTTTTGCGGTGAAAAACACATTGATTTAAAAATTCTTGCACAATTCAAATAATTGTTGCACTTTAATGAAACTTTCAGGACTTATTTGCAAATTAAGGAAATTATTTTAGAACCATTTCTTTCTTAGAAAATCACGGTAAAATATATATGTTTTTTTTTGTCATTTATCCCTGACTTATTTCATTTTATGAAATTTCAAGAAATTCGGTTTTGTATAAGTGTCATGAATTCTGAGAACTTCATGTCATTTTGGAGTTGGTTGGTATGATAACTTCTCATATAACTTTATTTTTGCTGCTTTACGCAAGCAAAGCCTAACATAAAGATTTACAAATAAGGTCATGCATTTCACCTTTATGGTTTGGAAGTTCTATATCAAGACCTTTTCAGACATTCCTTTTCAGCTTTTCTTTTTCAATCCTAGAACAAAAGTAACCTTTTCCATCATTCCTTCGGTTCTAGGACAGTTGTGTACCAGACAATTGTGTCCCTGAACAAATACGTTCCTGGATAATTGCATACATCTGATAATTTTTTGAAGCTTTTAAAGGCAATTGCCATAAATTTTTAAAAAAGCATAGGTAGTAATCATAAATTTTTTTTTTTTTAAAAGGAATTAAATATAAAAATATTAAAAGTTTATTTTTGTTTAAAATGCAATAACAGATTAACAGTTTTGCAAGATTGTTCTGCACATCATGTTTTTGTTTCATCAGCATTTTTCTTAAGATAGTGGTAGCTGTAATTTTCCTTGTCCACAAATATTTTTCATCAGTGTTTCATTTTCAGAACTTAGCTATGGGTTCCAAATAAAAATATAATCTATAAAATTCACAATCTATTAGATGTTGGGGATACACACTGTTGGAGTGAACTGAAACTGTTAGCTTAATTTTCTCTTGCTTTAAAAAAGAAATTTTTATCTCTTTTTTTTTTTTTTTTTTTTTTATTTATGGTAACTACCTTTCTGCTTGTTTAGACTAATTAAAGGTATCAGTGTGCAAATTTCTATATTAAACAATTCTTTAAAAAAAAAATGTTAACTTCAAAAAACTATCAGTTATGCAATTATCCAGGGACACAAATTTTCTAGGGACACAACTGTCCGTCCACCAATCCTTTTCATGGAACTCCCAGTCATGTGTGGATGTTTACAAGGTTCAGTGATTCTTTCAGGTCATCCTTATAATGCTTCTTTGGCTTATTGGCTGCTCACTTTCCGTTAGCAAGCTCTCCATACAAAGGCCTGTTTTGAAATCCTGTTAACACTCATGTGAACAACACAATAACTCCAGTGTACCATATGTCTGTGAATTGTTGCTTCAGTTTTTATTGCACTGACTTCTCTCAAGCATTTCCAGGTCACTGTTGTGCATTCTTCAGTTTATTCCAAGTATTTAGTACAAGCATGGTTTATGAAAGTTCTCTATCAGCTTCAAGTGTTTGCCATAGACAACCCACATTTCACATGCATGCAATAAAAACGTTAAAACACAAGCATGGCTCACCTTGATCTCCATAGTCACATTTCCAAATTACACACACACATATTTATTCTGACATCATCTGAAATAAAATGGGGCTAAAACTGCAAGCAATATTTTAATCTGAATGAATTGAAGGAGGCTCTAAAATTGTTAATTTTTTCTTTCTTTGCTGGACAAATAATTTATTATTTTGAGTATCAATTTTAAAAAGAAAAAAAAAATTTGTACAGTAGGACTTTATCATTTATGTAGATTCGTTTAAAGCTGAAGCTCTTTGGAGGATACAAGGGACGCAACTCTTTCCACATTAAGAAATAAATTTGACTTACAAGGCAAACCACGTGTCAATGAAATTGATTAGATTTCAGTTGCCTAGTCTTTTGTTTGTTTTGTTTTTAATTTTTATTTTTTTTAACTGTTTTCTTTTCTAGGGCTGATGACACATTTGGAGGAGATTAACATTATTTTTATTCACAAAATACTGCTGTTATATTATTATTATTATTATTAAAGACTTATGATATCATCCTTTTTTCCACTTCACCTTTCTCTCCTACTTTTTGCAACTTATTCTCTCACCTGTTTTTTTCAACTTCTCTTTTTTTCATTGTTTGTCACTCCTTCTCTTTCTCTCTACCCCCCACTGTTTCACTCCTTTTCTCACTGTTTGCCACGACTTCTCTCTCCAACATTGTCACTCCTTCTCTCACTATCTCTCCCACTGTTTGGCACTCCTTCTCTCACTATATCTCCCACTGTTTACCACTCCTTCTCTCTCTCTACCACTCATTCTGTCTCTCTCTCTCCAAATTTGCAACTCTTTCTGTGTCTCTCTCTCTCCAAATTTGCAACTCTTTCTGTGTCTCTCTTCCTCCCACTGTTTGCAACTCTTTTTGTCTCTCTTCCTCCCACTGTTTTACATCCTCTTCTGTCTCTCTCTCTCTCTCCCCACTGTTTGCAACTGCTTCTGTCTCTCTCTCTCTCTCCCCCACTGTTTGCAACTGCTTCTGTCTCTCTCTCTCTCTCCCCCACTGTTTGCAACTGCTTCTGTCTCTCTCTCTCTCCCCCACTGTTTAACTGCTTCTGTTTTTCTCTCTCTCTCTCCAAACTGTTTGCCCCTGCTTCTGTCTCTCTCTCTCTCTCTCCCCACTGTTTTCAACTGCTTTGTCTCTCTCTCTCTCTCCCCCTGTTTGTAACTGCTTCTGTCTCTTTCTCTCCCCCACTGGAAGCAAATTCTTCTGTCTCTCTCTCTCTCCCCACTGTTTGCAATTTCTATTCTCTCTCTCTCCCCACTGTTTGCAACAACAGTCTCTCTCTCTCCCCCACTGTTTGATACAGTCTTCTGTCTATTTCTTTCTTTGTTCTTTACTATCTTCCCCTCAAAACTGTTTCTCTCTCAAAATAAAAAACAATTTCACTATTTTTCCTCTCTCTCTCTCTCATTTGTTTAAGAATTTCTCTCTCTACAGAATTAATCCCCACTCATTTTCTCTCTCTAATTCTTTCTCTCTCTCTCTCCCTCTCTTTATCTCCTTTGCTCACTGTCTCTTCTCTCTCTCTCTCTTTAATTTTGTCTGTCTCTTCTCTCTCATTTATTCTCTCTCTCTCTCTCATTGATTTTTCTCTCTCTCCCCTTTTATTCGTTTTCTCTCTCTCTCTCCCATCCTGTCAATTCTCTCTCTCTCTTCAATTTCTGTCTATCTTTCTCTCTCTCTCTTCCTCCCACTGATTCTTTGTCTCTCTCTCTCTCTTCCTCACTGATTGCTCTGTCTCTCTCTCTCTCTCCTTCCTGATTCTAGTCTGTCTCTCTCTCTCTTCTCTCACTCTTTCCTTTTTTCTCTCTCTCTCTTTTCCTCTGATTCTCTCTCTCTCTCTCTCTTCCCCCACTTTTTGCATCTCTCTCTCTCTCTCTCTCCACTTTTTGCTCTCTCTCTCTCTCTCTTCCTCCCACTTTTCTTTGTCTCTCTCTCTCTCTTCCTCTCTCTCTCTCTCTCTCTCTTTGAATCTGATTCTTCTCTCTCTCTCTCTTCCCCCACTGATTTATCTCTGTCTCTCTCTCTTCCTCCCCTGATTTTCTCTCTCTCTCTCTCTCCCCCCTTTTTCATCTGTCTCTCTCTCTCTTCCTCCCACTGATTGCAAGTGTCTCTCTCTCTCTCTTCTCTCTCTCTGTCTCTCTCTCTCTTCTCTCCCTCTGATTCAAATTTTCTCTCTCTCTCTTCCTCCCCCCAAATGTCTCTCTCTCTCTTCCTCCCTTTGTTAAGTGTCTCTCTCTCTCTTCCTCCCACTGATTCCTCCTTGTCTCTCTCTCTCTCTTCCTCCCCTGATTGCAGGTCTCTCTCTCTCTTCCCAAGAAGATTTTCTGTCTCTCTCTCTCTCTCCCTCCTGATTCTCTCTCTCTCTCTCCTCCATTGGTTCTCAATCTCTCTCTCTCTCTCTCTCTTCCTCCCCACTGTTTGCAACTCTCTCTCTCTCTCTTCCTCCTCACTGATTCTAATGTCTCTCTCTCTCTTCCTCCCACTCTTCTCTCTCTCTCTCTCCTCCCACTGATATCACTGTCTCTCTCTCTCTCTTCCTCCCACTGATTGCAACTCTCTCTCTCTCTCTTCCTCCCACTGATTGCAAGTGTCTCTCTCTCTCTCTTCCTCCCACTGATTGCAACTGTCTCTCTCTCTCTCTTCCTCCCACTGATTGTTTGTCTCTTCTCTCTTCCTCAAACTGATTTAAACTGTCTCTCTCTCTCTTCCTCCCAAAAATTAAAGGAGTCTCTCTCTCTCTCTTCCTCCCACTGATTGCAACTCTTTCTGTCTCTCTCTCTTCCTCCCACTGATTGCAACTCTTTCTGTCTCACTCTCTCTCCAAGTTTGCAACTCTTTCTGTCTCTCTCTCCCTCCCACTGTTTGCCACTCCTTCTCTCTCTCTCTCTCCAATAATTCACCCACCCCCATCTTCCTGTTTCCCAATTCTTTCACTTCTTTAAATATATTTTGCCAAAGAGTTTCAATTTTGATAACTTCTGAACCTGAAAGATCCAAATATGCTAAAAGAGGAAAACTGAAACAGCAATTTGCAATTTTCCGCATGATGAGGTGCATTGGCTTTGAACAATCTTTGCTTTTTGCACTGTGTCTTTGGTAAATGTATTTTTCTTTTTTTTTTTCCTTTTGTTTTGTCAATATCTATTAAATGTCGGTTTCAATTTTCAGATGGATAAGAGTGAGATCGTTAATTCGCCAGTGAAGCCAAACATTACTAAATTGAAGGAACTTGGCCGACATATTCGTTCACACTTGCAGCTTAGCCTCTTCGGTGTCGATGTCATCATTGAGTGTGGGACCAATCGATACGCTATTATTGACATCAACCTTTTCCCAGGTATGTGACTTGCTTTTACTGCGTTGTGGTCGGTATTGCTCAGTTGAGATAATTTGTAAATGTGTAAATTTGACTGAAGCGAGATGGGCTTCATCTAACCACCTTACCATACCTTAGATCACCACTTCTACTATGGCCGCAGTACATGTAGTGCCCATATGGTCCTTATTGCTTACAAAACTCATGCTGGGATACGTACACAAACATTTCTCCAACTTGGTCGGGCTTACAGCTTTATCATGTTGAAACACCAGTTCCTGTACAATCACAGAAGTTAAGAAATGTTGGGCCTGGTCAGTAGTTAGGTGGGTGACTGCTTGGTAATACCAGGTGCTCTAAGTTTGGATGTGGGGGTAGTGTAATGAATAATGGCTTGGAATTGTTAATTGGACACTTCAAATTCTGTTCGGTTTGTTATATCCACTTATGAGCAAATACCCTTGGGAAAGGTATGAATCCACTTCTTCCCCTAGCTATGGGTTAATTATTAAGACATATCACTAAATCATTATTATCTTAAAAAAAATTACAATCTATAAATAATATTTTTCTGGCTTTAAATAACTTGTAAAGGGTTAAGCCGTAAAAGCAAATCAATCGGTCATATGTTCTGTTATGCTAATTTACCCATTCACAGATGGACTCTCCCAGTTACAAATAAGAGCAGGTTCTGCTTTTTAGAGAGCGTAGTTTCCAGCAGTCAGCTCTGAGAGTTGGACTTGACATTCTTGCTCATTTGTATATGATTGTATTACTGTTTTTCTGTTAATATATTTGTTAACTCAATTCTTCTCTTTGTGTATTTATTTCTAGCCCCAGCAAGGCCACATATTCACAATATAAATACAGTGTCAAAGTAATCCCTGAATTTATTAAAGAGTTATCTGTACTTTGCTGCTTGTTGAAAATATTTCCTAAGATAAATCACATAAAAAAATGTACATGTCTGTATGTTGTTGAAAGACGAACCGAGACTATGGGCATTTATCGGACTTTAAGGATAAAGCTTTAAAGTCATTAGTTGATAAAAACCCACAGCAAAGTACTTGGGGTTAGGGAATTAGCAAAGTTGTTAAACCCATTATAATCTACCATATGTCAATTGTCCTGGGTATGACAATAAACTACATCCGGCAGTAAAGCCTCTGACCAGGAGGTTTTGAGGAGCAGGGAACCACATCTCAATTGTGGTTGTTCCTCAGATCCAGGCTGGTAGCACCTGTTAGGATCTAATCTATGGGCAAATAATGGTCAGAATATGAAATTAGAAAAAAAGTTACCAGCAATACGTTTTTGGAAAAAGAAAAAAAAAATTACCAAAGCTCACTAGAAAATAAATTTTACATATTAAATGACCCATAAAATGTTGATGTACCAAAAAAAAAAAAAAATTATCAAAGCTCAATAGAAAATAAATTTTATATATTAAATGACCCATAAAATGTTGATATGGTAAAAAAAAAAAAAAAATTACCAAAGCTCAATAGAAAATAAATTTTACATATTAAATGACCCATAAAATGTTGATATACCAAAAAAAAAAAAAAAAATTACCCAAGCTCACTAGAAAATAAATTTTACATATTAAATAACCCATAAAATGTTGATATGGCAAAAAAAAAATTACCAATACTCAATAGAAAATAAATTTTATATATTAAATGACCCATAAAATGTTGATATGGCAAAAAAAAAAATTACCAAAGCTCAATAGAAAATAAATTTTATATATTAAATGACCCATAAAATGTTGATATTGCAAAAAAAAAAGAAAAAATTACCAAAGCTCAATAGAAAATAAATTTTACATATTAAATGACCCATAAAATGTTGATATGCCATTAAACAAACAAACCAAATGTTGACACTTGACAAAGAAAGAGAAAGTCAACAAGCTGGGTGGTTTTGGTTCAACACAGTCTTAGCAGAAAGAACAAAGTATGTTGTTGATAAATAATAACGAAAATTGTTTATGACTCGACATTTTGTGCGTGTATGCATGTCTATATGCCTCAAGTTTGCATTGAAGACTTTTGTTTCATTTTCTGGGTTGGGCAGTAGAGGTTATTATTTATAGAAATGTGAGGCTTTCTTAAACAAAATTTGATGTCTTTTTCTTCTGCTAAATCTTTAATACTTTTTCTCCGTAGGATACAAAGAAATAAATGGTTTCTTTGACTCTTTCGAGCGCTATATTCTGCAACTACTGGACAGCAAAAAAGCGGATAGAAATGCCGATAACAAACGCAGTCAGTGTCCAGTCGACTCTCTAACGATTTCAAACAACTGCAAAAAGCTGAAAGTTCAGGACAGCTCATCCGATGATGCCGAAAAGGAAGACATTGAGACGTCGAACACAGGCAGCTGTAAAATGTCCCCGACGAAAATAGTGGCAGACAGCAGTAACCAAAATGGGCATAAAAATCGTCTATCGAACAATTGTTCCCGGCTTGGCAACATGAATAATAGCCTGAAGGAGAATGTTAAGAACTCTCAGAAGAATCCACACACTAATGTGAGAGGTAACCTTAGTAACGCTGATGATACTGCCACTAACATTTTTACTTCTGGTAAGACAAGCATCAATAGCAAGTCTTTGAGTGATGTGCAGGCAACCGATTCTCTTCCAGCTGTAAATGGGTTAACATGAAAAATTTCCTCTCACTCAGTGTCTTTTATTTACCAACATTTTTTTTTATTTTTATTTTTCTTTTAAGCCAAAGAAAAATTTTTAGTGAATCCTTTCCAATGCATTTCATGAATATCTGCATGTGTCTATATTTGTTTTGCTATACACAAGTAAAATTGAAAAAAAATCTGGAATCAAAAGTATAGAAGATAATTTGTGAGAATTTAGCTTGACATGTTTTTGCTAATAGCTTTGTGACATGAGAACAAAAGTTTTATTTGAACAAACCAAAATGAAATGTGTTTTATGTGAAGCTTTATAAACTATTTTAAAAAAAAATTTTACTTTGTCTTTTGGATTAGGTTTTAACTAATTTCAATTTTTTTTTCTTCTTTTTCAAATTATTCCACATTGTTGTAAATTCTATAACAGATAACAGAAAATTTAAGTGTTTAGGCACTTAATGTAAAACATGTTTTATCTTGGCTATGCTGATATTTTTTTATTTTACTGTTTTAGATTTATTATTTTTTTTAATTTTATTTTTTAAATTTTAAATTTAAAAAAAAAAATTTAGTCTCCTTTTTTTTTTTTTATTTTTAGTTATTTTTTAAATTTAATTTTTTTTCCTAAATATTCTTTTTTTTTGTCCTATATATTTTCTTTCTTTTTTTGTCTAAATACTCTTCTTTATAGAAAAAAATACAACTGATGAAGCAAAATTTCTAGAAAAACATGTCAAGCTAATTTTTTCTCTTCAAATTTTCTGAAATATTTTTTGTCACTAATTGTTTATATTAAGTGAAATTATTTCTTGTTTAAATGCGTTGCAAATGATTGACCAAAGAAACAAATTACAAAATTGCTTTTGTCAAAAAGTGCAAAATTGAATTAGGCTTTCAAAGTAAAAAAAAGTATTTTCAGAAATATATGCTTAAGGTGATGCTGACAAGTTGTTGGCATGACCCACTTCCCAAAATATAAGAATTTTGGGGGTCATCCCCTGGTTGAGCTGAGAACTTTGAGCACCCATACCTCATAAATCAATCTTGCAAAATGAAATTGAAAGTTAAGATATAATAATAGATTGTGTAATAAAATAATGTGGAGAAAAAAAACATTAAACTACACATGTTAACAAAATGGAAGAAGAAAGAATAAGAAAGGTTTAAAAATTTAGAATATTTTAATTTTATAAAAGTATTGATAATTTGGCGAAATTGTTAATTTTAATTTAAATTTGTTTTTCAGAATAATTTTTTTTTTTTTTTTTTGGCAAACATGGACCATCATGTCTGCCAAAAAAAAAAAAAAAATGAATTCCCAAAAGAACGGTTTTACCCATGACACCACTTTTATTTTAGTTACTTCTGGGCAAAATTTATTGTTTTAAAAAAATAATGATTTGAATTGTAATAGAACCTAAACATTTGAAAATGAATTTATAAATTTCCTTTATTATCAAGAATTTATAACAAAAATAATAAATACTATTTATTTATTAGATTGTTTATTGGAATGGTTTGCAAAACATTTGCTAATTGCCAATCGATTCAAACTTTATAAAATGGTAAATAATAAGGATGTTCTTATAATTGCTTCACATATTTTAATAATTTAGTAAATGTTTATAAATTTATAAATAAAAAATGACAAATATTGTATTAGTTTCTAGAATGTTGTAAATACAAAATCATCATAAATAAGCAATCAAATAAATATCATTTAATATTTTTGTAGTAAATTCTCAAGAACAAAGAAAATGTATAAATTAACTTTCATATGTTTAGGTTTTATTACAATTGTAATCATTGCTTTTTACAACAATAAACAATACCAAGGAGTGAAGGTAGTTAAAATAATAGCAGTGTCATAGGAAGAATCCTCCTTTTTCACACTTCTTTTGCAGACACAAATGTCCTTGTTTGCCTTTTTAAATAAGTATTTACAGTAAAGGCACATAAAATAATGTCTTACTCTAGAATTTTTAGAAAAATTCTAATCGATATTATTATAGATTTTTCTGTAGAAATTGCGGAATGTGATAAGATTTAAGTGAGAAACAAAATAAATTGCTACAAAAATGGATTTGAATGTGTTTACAACAAGAATATATTGAGGATTAGTTTTCTATAAACCATCTTTTTTAACCACTTTGCTGAAAGAACGCTTTAATTTTTTTAGTTTTTTTAATTTTATTTTAGCTTTTATAGAAACTAAGATAAAACCCTGAGTAATAATAATAAAAAAAAAAGATGGGGAAAAATTAGACATATTACCTTTAAATAATAAAAAAAATTGTTTGTCGCTCAGGCAAGCTAACATAATCCTCTTACGATAAGTAAGATTATGAAATTTGTCTTCAGAACTATGATGTAGATTTTATTTTGAGAAATTGAAAATCTCTTAAGGATTTTAATCTGAATATCTCAGAATTTTCTTTTTCCGACTAAAGGTGAAATTTGAGACACTTGGGTAATGTCAAATCTTAACCATTTTGAAACAATATTATCAAAAAATAAAAGCTTTTGTGTGTTTCTTGATAAGGAGCTTCCTGTCTTAATGCTTGCTTGAGCGATCAGACCTTAGTTAAATAAACTAGGAACTAACGTATATCTATTTAAAAACAAATACTGTTTGTCTATATATATATATATATATATATATATAGAACATTGAGTTCACTACCCAGAGCGATAGTCTCTTTCATATTTAAATGCAATTATCAGGCCATGTGCATTTTGTTTTGGTTTGACTATTAATAGTTGAGCCAAAACACAACACACTGCTGATTCACTGCAGTATTTTTCAAGGCCTCTCAATTGCAGTATTCTTATTGTTAATTTCACTCCGTTGTTTTCTGTTGCCATAGCAGGATATGACAACACAACTATGAAATTCAAACACACTATTGTTCAGGGATCAGAGTCACCTTCAGTCACAGAATAAAATTTTTATACAGTAAATGAAAGAGCGATAAAGGCTAAGCATGAACCAGACTATCGCCGCTGGTTGTTGATTTCAATCTCCATTTTATATTTACATACACTCTATCCCTGATATTGAGCACTTTAACCCATAAAAAATAAAATAAAAAAAATTTATATTTTTATATATATATTTTATATATATATATATATATATATATATATATATATATTTATATGTTTGGATAGATGTGAGTTTGAAACCCAGGGTCATAAACTCACATCAGTCCAACAAATAACAACTCTATCTCTGATATTATTTGCTTTCTAATAATTACTGGCATCATAATATATAAATAAATATATATATATATATATATATATATATATATATATTTCTTTTAAAAATGATATATGAATTTTTGTATATCAAGAACAATTTTAGGAAAATCTATGACAGTGGAAAAAGATTTTCTTGAGAGACATTTTGTCCTTGAGAACTTCAGACTAAAGTGATGTTTACACTGATATGTTTAAACATACTATTGAAAGAGAAACGACATTGAGATTTAGAATTTAAAATATTCTTTTTTAATTCTGTGAAGTCTTAAATGATGAAATGTGTCACCAGAAAAAAAACTTTTATTTATTAATCCAACAGATTTTGTCACTTTAAACATTATTTTCAGTGGGTACTCAAATTTGAATAGATGTTCTGTTTATTTATTAAACACTATATTTGGGACTGAATATTCAAGAAATCTTTTTAAAGAAAAATATGTACTCTCCAGTAGGATTTGAACCTGTGACCCCTGAGCAGAGGAAACCACCCTTAGATCTAACATACTTTAGACTGGCTCAGCCACGAAGAGTATTTGCTGGCCAAGCACAGCTGAACAGTGTGAAATCCTTCTCATTATAGATTATAAAAATTTCATATCTACTCGAGTTTCATATGCAAACATTTCATTTAAAGGCACTATTTAACCTTGCTTGATCACAAAAAGTTCTTCATGGTCGAACTGGTTTCTTTGCCCAGTAGGATGCAGGTTTGAATCCTGCTGGTGAGTGCATATTTTTCTTTATGAAGTGTTGTAACCTAGGGAAGGTTACTAAATAGAATAATCACATGAAGGTTGGTAATGAAGGATAATACTTAGTACAAGAACAACACATATAAGATTTGCCAACAGCGCGTCGAAGTAGTAGTCAACTGCTAGAAGTGCGTCAAGTGAATTCCACAATGAATACTCAACTGCAGGATATCAACCAACTACCCCATGCAACCAGATGTGGCACAAGGTCGAATTTAATGTGGGGGTATCTGAGCCTGTTGGCTTGGCCAAAAATTCCCTGTAGACTCCGTATAAAATGGGGTAGCTGATCAACAAGATGAGACTCTGCCCTTCGACGTAGCCTTGTCTTGTCTGCCTTAAGGCAGAGAGTTTGACCAGCACAGCTGGAGACGAATCTCCAACTGCAGACAAACATGCTGTATTTACTACCGTATTTATGTTAATGGGGACATACCTATTATGATCTGTAGGTATGCTATAACATGAAAATTTCTCAAATATTCAGGTAGGTAGGAAAAATAAATATACTGTTTCATAAATAAACAGAGCATCTACTCAGATATGAGTATCCACTAAAAATAACATTTAAAGTGATATATATATTAACCATATAGAAAACCCAATGACAACGCACTTTGCGTACGCACATCTTCCAATTACCCACTAACAAGAATTACCCACTAATCAAGAAGATTCCACAATCAATTAACCACACAT